ATTATGAAAGCCCTCTCAGATGTTATTGCTGAACCCTTAGCGGTACTGTATGATATGTCCCTACGACAGTCCAGATTGTCCAGAGACTGGAAAGACGCAATAATCAGTCCGGTGTATAAGGCTGGGAGTAGGGATTTAGTTAGTAACTATCGACCCGTCAGCTTAACTAGTGCAGTTGTAAAACTAATGGAAAAAATTATTAGGATGGCTGTTATAAACTATGTGGAAAGACATGATCTTTTGTCCAAGGAACAACATGGTTTTCGAAAAGGTCTATCATGTTTGACAAATCTTCTCATTGCAAGAGAAGAATGGGCTGAGGCAAAAGATTGCAATATTCCTGTAGATTTCATTTTCATAGATCTAAGTAAAGCCTTTGATAAGGTTTCCCATTCTGGTCTTAAATTAAAACTGGAAAGTTTTGGAATTCATTATGCAGTCATAGACTGGCTAAGTGACTTTCTTCATGAAAGGAGACAAAGGGTAAGAGTAAATGGGGCTCTCTGATCGTGGGAACTAGTAAAAAGTGGAGTTCCCGAAGGCACAATTTTAGGTCCTCTTCTCTTTTTACTTTATACAAATGAATTACCAGCTATAGCTAAGTCATCCATCCTACTATTCGCCGATGACATTAAGATTTGGAGACCCATATATAGCATGTTAGACAGAATAGTTTTAAAGGAAGATCTTAACTCATTAGTGGCATGGATGAACGGGTGGTCACTAGAAGTAAACCCTAATAAAATTGTAGTGATGCAATTAAATAACTACGATGATTCGTATCACTACACAATATGTGGATTTGTGTTACCAAATGTAAGAAACTATAAAGATTTAGGAGTCGTATTAAACAATGATCTCAAAACGACTATCCACTGTAAGGCTGCTGCTGCAAAAGGCTATAGGGTATTATGGTCTATTCGTAGATCTTCACGGTATCTGGATGGGGAAACGTTTAGATTATTATACCCAACTTTCGTACGGCCACATTTGGAATATGGGATTCAAGCAGCGAGTCGTTGTTTCAAATATGAGGCGGATATGTTGGAACGAGTCCAACGCCGCGGGACAAAAATGGTAAAAGGATTATCTAGCCTATCTTATGAAGACAGACTGAGACACCTCAACTTATTTCCGTTATTTTACCGGCGAATACGGGGTGATCTAATATTGGCATATCGTATCCTGAACGATGACCTTGGTACTAACATGTCCTATCTTTTCCTCCCGTCTAGGGCTGAGCATTTGAGAGGACATTCAAAGAAAGTCCAAAAACCGAGATCAAATCGTCTACGTCTGGAGTTTCGTTTCTCGCACCGAGTAGTGAATTACTGAAATTCTCTACCAGAACACGTAATATCAGCACCTTCTGTTGATATATTCAAGACAAGATTGGACCTCCACAGTGTATCAAACTGCTAGGATTAAAATAGTTCACTAGACCTCCTATCCTTATTACTGAAGACTGAAGCACCACCTAATCCACTTACATCATTTGACCTTGAACGATCACAGTAAGGTCGTTGATTTCAAAAGGGTCTGTAGTGAGGTAATTTCGGTCAGTCTTCAGCCTTCAGTATCAAGGGCAGTAGGTTGGTGAACCTGTGTTAATCCTGACAGATCGCCTTCCAGTGAAGGTCCAGCTTCTCCTGATGGGGCTGATACCGTTTATTCGTGTAGGGCGTTCCAGTCTTGGACCACTCGATGAAAAAACGGGATCCCACTTTTAGTTTATTACATCGTCGTTTGTGGACCTTCTTGCTATGACCTCGGAGATTAGTGCTGCAGGGAGCAAAGAGATAAGACATATTACCACCCAAATCATAATTAAAGATACGAAATGTCAGTATAAAGTCACCTCGCGTCCTACGATAAGACAAGGGGAAAGGTTTAGACGTTTCAAACGCTTATCGTAAGGGAGTTCAGAAAGACCCTTCACTAATTTTGTCCCCACACGCTGGACACGCTCAAGTGATTTAGTATCATTTATCAGACTTGGGCTAGCTGCTTGGATGCAGTACTCTTAGTGTGGCCTTACATAGGTGGGATATAAAATTCGAAACATCTCGTCAAAGCATTTAAGTGTTCTGCGAAGTGACCGTAGTGCACGATAAATTTTGGAAGCGGCCGCGTTGCAGTGCGTAGTAGTTTTCAAGTCATAACTTTCAGTTACTCTTAAGTCCTTATGTTCTTGAACGCGTTGAAGAGATGTACCATCAATAGTATAATCGTAACCGTTACCGTGCCCGATGTGGATAAGCATGCTCTTCCTGGAATTAACTTCTAAGCCTCAACCACGAGCCCATCTAACGAATTCGTCTAAGTCAGCCTGGAGATGAAAGTGATCAGCTCCACTTCTTATTGCTCTCCAGATTTTGACATCATCCTCAAACAATGTCGACGACTTAAGCAATAGTGGCAATTCGTTAATGTAGAGAAGGAAAAGTCGAGGGCATAAGATGGTGCCTTGGTGTACACCACTTTTGACCGGCTTCCATCCGGATAGCGTTCCATTGACCCTTACTCTCTCTCTGCGGTCACATAAAAAGTATCCTATCCAGCAGCACCTGTTCTTCCAAAGCTCGAGAGCTGCGTAAGACCTAGGTGTGAAACTTTGTCAAACGCTTTGCTAAAATCTATGAATATCACATCGACAGACAGGCCGTTATGTAGGGTTGCTGTTCAACTCTCTCTCGCAATAAGTTAGTCAAGCATGAACGCTTGTCATGAAACCCATGTTCCTCGGGAGTTCATGAATTGTACGAATCTATATGACTTGGACCGATGCATATATGTGCCTGGTCCTACGTTGTAGCTGACTGACTGATATGACTTAGTAACTTAACCCGAATTATCTTTTCAAGTAACTTAACGAATATGCTGGTTAGGTTGCTAGGCCGGTAGTTAGATACAATCCGTCTCTGATCATCCTTAAATACAGGACTAACTATGGCCTTATTCCAATCTCTAGGGGGTTAAGCGAGTGAAAGGGACATGTTGAAGATCGTCGTGAGCGGTCTTGTAATAATGTCTGCAAGCGATGACAGCAAACGTGGATGTAACCCATGAGGGCCCGGTATCTTACAAGGTTTGAGGTTAGTTATCAATGGAAGAACAATTTCCTCAGTCACGTGTATAAATTTTATGGCTGATATCTCTGTGTGATTGGGACAAGTATTTATGACACTACACGTAGAGTATATTTCACTAAAATAGTTTGAAAAAGTCTCAGCTTTTGCTAGATCTGATTCAACTAGTAAATCTGAATTTTCGTGTAACAGTAACGCAGGAATACCATCACTACGTTTTGTTCGCCGTTTAACGTACGAAAACAATCGCTCCGGACAAGCACGGCTATCATAAGATAGCTGTCGTTCGTAAGTGGTACCGGATTTAGCTATGGCCTTTTCACATATATTCCGGAGTTTTTTCTATTCCACTTGAATGATGCCTGTCCTGTTGACAAGAATAAGTCCAGGAGTACTTCCTACGCTTCAACAACTCCCGGGTTTCCTTATTAATCCATGGAGGGCAATGTAATAGCTTACGTGTTGATCATGGGATAAAAGGTTGTGTTATGGACTCAAATGTAGCCTTAAACTTATTCCATTCGTCTTCAATCGATCCATCAGCATCGGCTGACCAGTCAATCGAAATAGCACAGTCTCTGGTTGCCAGAATTTTAGCTATCCAGATATTGGGACGGTGTAGAGCAGATACTATGTGATCACTATTCACTGGTGGAGGAAGATGCTGAATGTCGACGATATCTTCACAGTGGTGTGGGAGGACAAGGTCCAGCAATGACAGATCATGTTCCAAGTCAATTCAATTTACTCTGAAGAGGGACAGTGGAATTGATGTGATATAGGCTTCAAATGTTATATTATTTATGCAAGTGCTCAAGTCTTTATAGAGATCTGCATTCATGAGCATCTCATCAACATTTACCATCCACTCTCTTCATACTACATATCTTCATTATTCGGGTGAGGAAATTATCATTGTGTAGTGGTTTAACTTATATCATTTGATGCAGGATTTACGTTTGGTGTGGTTCTTCATCTCAGTACGTTATTTTAGACGGTGTCCTGTGTAATATGTAGAAGTTTTGGCATTGCTACTTGCACTCCCAGACTAAAATGCAGATTGAATTGAAATGCGTCGTCACAAGTTCAGTACTTATACCACTGGATATTAGTGCTGGTGCCCATCGTAACCCTTAAATTCCTCATGGTGTCGAGTCGCGTTTACTCCTCGTCTTCCATAATTTTGACCTGTTCGTCCATTCATACATTCTCCTTTCATGATATATCGTTTATGTTACTCTAACTGATTTTAATTGTTCTGAGTTGGGGTAGGTTCTGTGTGCTATCCCTCTCATTCACAAGAATCGGGTCTGATGTCCCATGTTAAGAACGTTCTTGATTTTTCTCGGTGTATAAACAAAGCATTTAATTAGTCCGTATGAGGGACAACCCCATACTATTTATATGAATTTCTTAATTTACTAATCATTTTTGACTTGGTAACGCACTGGAGTGCAACAAAACCCACTGTACTTATCTGTATATTAATTCATCTGAGTAAACATCCTGTGTTTTGTATTTCAGAATAGTTGGATACCAGGCTTTGCCAACCAGCTTACGTGGATGAAAGAAAAAGGACCTTGTGAAGAACAGAAGGCGGATTTACTATTCTGTTTACTACGTAGTTCTTGTTGTCAAGAAGTATGTCCTGTTAAATCACAGCATGTTTTAGAAAAAACTCACTCCACGAGAGTGTTTAGAACGCGAGAACTTTCCTCGTGAGTGTGCATCACTCAGGCACGCTTTTTACCGTTGCTGTCTCCAACCAGTATGTGTGTGCACTGTATTTTATCTCGTTTTAGGTAGATAAAAAGCTTAGGTTGTCTGGTCATAAATATATCACTCCCAAGTAGGACATTTGTATGTCAGAAATTTGCGTGTTTTATGAGTACTGTTTGCTGATCTTAAGAAATGGCTGTTGCATTCGTCACTGTTGGCACGACTTCATTTGATGGGCTGATCAATGAGGTCAATAAAGTCGAATTCCATGAAGGTCTTTCAAGATTGGGATATAAAGATCTGATCATACAATATGGAAGTGGATCTGTCATACCTCGTGTTCCGGAAGACATTTGTACCGAAAGTACTGAACACTTGTCTACAACTCCCTTCTTACACATTAAATCCTTCCGATATAAAGATTCCCTTGTTGATGAGTTTCAAAGGGCATCATTAGTTATTAGTCATGGCGGTGCAGGCACTTGTATCCAGGCTCTTACTCCATGTGGACGTCGCCGACTAATCGTCGTTGTAAATGACACGTTGATGGATAATCATCAGGAGGAACTTGCACTTGCTTTGTTGCAAGGAAAACATGCTTTAGTTTGTACTCCTGCATCACTTAACCATTTGCTATGGACAGGTAATGAGTCCACTTATCCTTCTCAGTTTGTATGCAATAAGGTAAGCCTTTGAATATCCATCCAAATATCTTTTCATCATAATTTTGTTTCCTGGTGTTTAGAATATGCCGTTGGCTGAAATTAAGAGGTTACTGGGTCCTGAAGTTCCACCAGAGCAAGCTGGCTTTGTTGGTTTTACTCGTGGTTCTCCAGAAAAGCTGTTGCCGTACATTGAAGAACGCTTATTGGCTTTTTCTTGATATTTCGTCGTTTAGACTTTTCCTATTTTTCTATATTATTCTAGTACCCTCTTATATTTTGTTCCCTTTGGTTTTTACGCCAACGTATATATTATCTATATTTGATGTCGTGTCATTAGATTTCAGTTTCTAGACCCTCCCCATGTAAATTCGGGCTGCTTCAAAGTCTAAATTTTTTGCTTATTATTGGATAGAAACGTAATGATTATGAAATATAAAACTAATCAGTGACTTGGGACTTCTCTTAGGGTATGGTTTAGTTGGGGTAAGATAGTCTTGTATTTAATGACCATGCAATATTATACCCAGCTTGCTAATATACAGGTTTGTTAATCGCTATCAGTGTAAGATAAGGTACGATTATGTATAAGTTTTTGGCGAGGTATTGTTCTCTGAGCTGGATGGCTTGGTCTTGGAACTTTCGTGCTTCTAAATGACATCATCAGCACAAACTTCAAGTAGAAATGAAGTGTTCGGATTTCTCCGCACATAGCTCCCAGTTTGTCCTGTGGACCTCGATCTTGATTGATTATTGTTAGCCCCTAACATTTCATCGATTACCTCCTTGTTTTGATCGTATCTCCGATTGATTTGATTCTTGGTCCTATATTTGTCCATAACTATGGGAAAAATAAGGATATGTTATGTAGCTATTTAGGACGATTACACTTGTGATTTGCTGATCAATATCAAACAGACTATATTTTATCTGTAAGCGACACAGTGAGCGAGGAACTCGTGTTCGGCTTATTGTGCATTTACCTGATCAAGATCACTGCTTATATTTTCCTGTTTGTTTCAGTTCGTATATATGCATAGTAAGCTTAATTGTTTGGGTTCTGGAGATAAATCCCAGTCTTAATCTTCTTTTAATGTACAGAGCATCAACCAAGCGTCTGGAGGCGTGTATTGTAACTATGTTGAATTACAGAAATAAAACTGGATTGGCTGGTGCACACACAGTGTTTATTCACTTTGACTAAGTATTAAGAGTTTAGTCACAGTTTTTTGACATTTAAGCATTCTGATTTGATGAAAATAGTTTGATTTGTCGATGACTGATGTTCAGTTTAACTTCATTATAGACCTGTTGCTGGAAATAACACTCGTCAACTGAGTTTTCAGGAATTGATCTTCTACCAGGAGGTTCACTTATCGACTTAGAATATGCAGATGACATAGTCCTGTTTGGTGAAGACGCTGACAAAATGCAGTCTTTTGGTAGCACTGAGTAATAATGCCAGGATGTTTGGAATACGTTTCTCTCCATCCGAATGTAAACTGTTACTCCGGGACTGGCCTGTGTCAACACTTGAACTAAGGATATGGAGTGAAGTAGTCGAACGAGTCGATAACTTCACTTATCTTGGAAGTCTGGTCAGTTCCTAATGGGTTGGTATCTGACGAGATCTCAGCACGAATTCAGAAAGCTCGTTTGGTTTCTGCCAACTTACGTCACCTATGACGAAGGCGAGATATTCGTCTATCAATTAAGGGACAAGTATACTGAGCAGCAGTTCGCTCTGTTCTACTTTACGGCTGTGAAACATGGCCATTAAGAGTAGAAGATACTCGTGCGTTACTAGTATTTGAGCACATATGTCTTAGAAATATCGCTCGCATCTGCTGGGATAACCGGGTAAGTAATGATGCGGTTAGACGCAGGGTATTAGGGAATGATGGTAAATCAGTTGATGAGATTGTGAATCCTCATCAACTGAGATGGTTGGGCCACGTGTTACGTATGCCTGAACACAGATTACCACGACGCGCAATGCTGACTAGTGTAGGGGATGGTTGGAAAAGAGTTAGGGACGGCCAAACCAAAACGTGGCGTCAGTGCTTGAAGTCACTAACTTCTAGTTTGAGCCATGTTGGCAGATGCAGACTACCTGGTTGGGGTCCGCGTGACTATCGTAACCAATGGTTGGAGACTCTGGGTGACATGGCTCAGAATCGATCACAATGGCGTAGGTGTATACACTCTTTATCTTCCCTTAAACCTTGAGATTAAAATTGCTTCATAACTTTTTTCCTTCCTATACTATATCCTTATATACAACCTTTCTTTATATACTACCACTACTAAATTAATTACTTCTATGAATCCGGTGTTGATCTTGTTGTGCTAACGAGGTATGGCAACTTGGACCGATGCATATATGTGCCTGGTCCTACGTTGTAGCTGACTGACTGTTCAGTTTGTACAGATGTATAGTTTAAAAAAGTGTTGACTATGAATAATTTATTCAGAAACATGTTTTAATAAGTCACTATATTTAATTCAGATGCCAAATACACTAAAATTTAGTATCTCATGTAAAACATAATATAAATTGTAGTACATCACTTAAGAAACGAAGGTGATATTAGAAATATAGAATCTTATAGAATTGACGCTACAAAAACTATCTGAACAACAGTGCCCAAGAATTTTGTAGCAGTTTATCGTGCTGAAAAATTCCCATTATGTTAAAACACGATTATATGAACAAACAATATTTTCAATAATTTCTCATCAGGTTTTCAATTATATATGCAAATTAATAATCCATGAAATTGTCCAGGTTTAAGGCAGAGTACATCATTTAGAACTGTGATATGTGAATCAAAGATTGTGTGTCATATAAAATAAAATCGTTTATGTTTGTTATTCTGTATATTACTTAATTTCTGATTTGTAACTACAATATTCTCCTTTGCACCTCATGCTGACCATATTTATTCCTATTATTTATCTCACAGTTTCATTTAACGTACAAGCTTATTCAAGTTAATTTCATATTAGTCACTCAAAGATTGACGATTTTATTTTATATGACATACAATCCTTGACTCACATTTTACAATTTTAAACGATGCACTATATCTTAAACCTGACCAAATTCATAGTTTATCTTACTGTTCATGCAGGAAACAATAAGTGAGAACGGGATTAATGAGGTTTAGATCTTTAGTTATTTTCGGTGACATTTAGGGCTTGGTCCTACATACTGTAAGCCAACATGTAATAACACAACACACATTTCAATTTGTGTTTCAGTCTTACAAGCTAATTATGAGTTAACTACTAACAAAAATCCGATATCCCCGAGTTTTGGCAACAGGTACAGACCGTTAGCTTGTGTCAATCGGTTCGGCATGTCCAGTCTGTTAATCACTGAAGCACTTATGCATTACAACAATCCAATCAGTCAGGATTGACCAGTAGTTCTATACACATCCTTGCTATCGGTAGGGTGTGCAATTTCTTCGGAGCCTAGGCTTGAGAAAGGACACTTAGGACCAATCAGGTAACGGTTAAAGTCCAATTAGGTCCAGACTAACAAGCCCTCAATCCACTTAATATACACAACATTTATGAAACTAAAGGTAAGTTACTTAAGGCTTTTAAAGCAATGAACTTCTTGATTCGAACTGTTCATATAAATCTTAGTTCAAAATGTAAGATAAGCAAGAGACAATCAATTCCTTAGTAAACCTAGTCGTGGAAACTGAATCCTAATCAGAGTTTTAGGATTAGCCTTATCACAATGCTGATTATCCATACTTGTGACGTTCTATTTAGGGTACAGTTATGCGTTGCCTAGATTTTCATTTGCGCATAAGCCAGAATCGTTTTTCGTTTATATTTTATCATTTACTTAGGTGTTAGACATATCTCATGTTTCATACATGTTGAAGGTAAGAGTGCCATGGAACGCGTTGACACAACCACGCATATTTGGTCAGTTTTTCGCAAATACGATTTAGTTATATTTTAGTCACATAATGCATAATTAACTACATTCACAGCTGAATGTTAATTTTTCTTTAGTCTGTTTGCATACTGAAAGATTAAATTTATCGTCTAGAACCTTGTCCAAAGCTTGTTATAGTCTCAAATTTTCCTATACCCGCATTAAAATGATTAAAAAAAACAACATAGCTTTAGAAAATAATTTATTTCAATAGAAAATTAGTAGCTTGTACATGGAATAATTGTTTCAAGTGTTGTTATTTATTTACATCTTTATCTGTTTTTGTCGTTATGAAAATCTCACTGAATAGTGCAAACTCTAGCATGAATTGTACTTTTTCTTGATTTTAGTTTATCTAAACGTAGAGCACGACGTTGATTGCCTAGTAAAACAAATTTGCAATTCGAATATATTTGAAGAATTGAAACAGGTGAATAATATCAAGGAATTGTTCTCTGACTACTGTTAATATAGTTACACCCTAGTTAAACTAAATATCCGAATATAATGGCTAGCATGTTCAATTTATATATGACTTTAACAAGGGGGCAAAATTAATTGGGCGTTTACCATTTTGGAAAAAATATAATTTTCCGCGATATAGATTGCACTGTATTATTTGGTTACTTCAAATAATCAGTTATAAGACGTAACTGAGATTTCTGTGGACGTCATCCATATCATAAAAGTAGGAGTTTTGAATTATTTATTAGGTTATTATTGTGAAATACGTCAGTAAAATATTTTCAATACTTATTGCTATATTCTTTAGACTTATTCAATTAAGGTAAACATATGACTTGTTATACAAGTGGCTAACTACTGGGATATACCAGTGGGCAATATGAGTAGTATAAATTTAGTTTCCTTATTTTCTAGTTTATAATCGACTTTATTGTTGTACATTCTATTATTCCTTAGTTTCTATCATTCTTATCTTCATCGGTGATAATGCAGAATGTTACTGAGACTGAAGAAAGATATAGATAAGTGGTCCTTTGAAGCATCAGTTCTATTTCTTACCCGTAGCAATTCAGTGTGACTCATATACAAAATACGTGTTTAATTTCTAGGCTTCAAACCATACTAAAAGTATGAGCGCTAATGAAAGCCAGTGTAGGTGGTATACAAGCTTGCAACTCTGTGATTGAAACCTGAACGCTGTAACCATCAGACCACTATGCGATATTATTTCTAGTATACGGGCGCTGTTTTATTCGACTATTGGTTCCAATGGGCAGTTATTCGTCACAACAGGGAGAAATTTGGCGAAAAAGTGATTGCAAGATTAAAAAACAAATGTCAAAGTTTTGGAAAATGATAAGAGTACGCGAAAAAATCTGTACATTTTGTTTAGATTTAAAGCAACACGATCGTATCACTTTGAAAGAAGTGAAAAAAAGGATTGACATTCAATTTCATGAAAGCCAAAAGAGACGGTTAATCATGTTTAACAGTCAGCCAAGTTTATGCGTTATTTGAGACTGGAATTAGCAGTTTTACTTACAGATAATCTCTCTTTCATGAATGTCAAACAATAGTGCGAGCATATATGCTTTGATGGAAGTGGGTTGATTTAAAACGCATCATAAAGTCACTTGCATATACTAAAATTCAGCTTATCCAGTAGCGTAGTAAGAGCTCCGGGTGTGACATAGCAACAAGAAGTTGGTCAATGAATTGGATCTATACAATACATTGTCACATACAAATTTGATTAAATATACTTAACAAATCTATTTAAACTTTCTTCAACATACCTGCTATGTATACCTCTCTATTAAATGCACCAGCTGCTAGCGCAATGCTGTAAAAAAGGTTAATGGTTCTGTTAGAGTAAAAATTAAGAGTAATTTATACAAAAATTGCTTACATTTAATCAGAAATTAAGAATAATATGTATTGAGCATAGAATTAATCTTCTAGAATTACATACACTGCTTATAGCTTAAAACTAAGTGGATCATGTGACTATATGTTTATCAGGGAAGTGTCTCTTTGTACTTTCCATCTCTCGTAAACTAAGTGAGGGATTTGTGGTCTTCAATTTTAGGTTCAATCACCAATCATAACAATCTGGTTTAATTATTGGTTTATTCAGTGCAATACAGTCATCTGTCCGATAATTGATAATGAACCGTCATTGTTGGCTGTGAGTAGTTGTCGGTTGGCCTGTAGTATCGGTGTTTATGTTAAGCCCATATACTTTATTCTAGTTGCTGGCCAAGCCAATTCGCCTATCCATTATGAGTCATATTTTGATCTTGTTAATTATTCGCTTACTAACCTTGACTACCTTGTTATATGAGCGCATGTGTATGTATCCTTCTTATCCTACCTATCACATGTCTGTCATTCATTTTTGTCCGACTATAAATGTTGATTAACGCTTGCTTAAATCGAGTTGGCTTCCAGCCATCTCCAATGCGCATTGTTCTCGCTTCGCTCTCGAGTTGGTTTCCCAGCCAATCTCCATTGCGCATGGTCTTTCGCTTCGTTCGCTTTTATTCGCTTCATCACTCTGATTTTCTGGCCAAATCAATGACTGTGGAAAATATATGTATCCTAATTCCATTCTCGTATTTGACTTATTTAACTCCGTTGTTCACCAACGCGGAATAAAGTCATTTATTATATACTAGTATAGACAGGATTAGATTTACGCCGACGACAGAATTGGATACCTCGCCGAACGAGCACGACGCAACAGAGACCAAATAATATCCTATAATCATTGGGTCGTAAATATTCTTTTGATGTTTTCCGCATTCCATAGGCTGGAGACCAAACTAATTACTAAATTTGTATCAGTCTATCAAGACGTAAAGATACACGGCGCAAAAAAGTCGGACACTGGTAATATGTTTATAATAAAAAGAGGAAGGCTGGTATTTTGAAACAAATATTACTGTCCATAAAAAGCAACATGCAATACATGTATATATAACCTGTGGATGACTTTGGGAAGCGAAGAGCGATGACGGAAAAGTAAAGGCTATTCCGAGAACTACAGATTTCAGTTATATGACAAGCGTTTGGAGTATAAAACAAACTACTTAAATTATCTGTATATTTTCCACAGGTATTGCTAACAGAAAAGTACCTGGTCAAACATCGGCTCTTAGATCTTTAGAAACCTAGTCTTAGATTACATACAAGTTTTACTACTAAAATTAACCCCATAAACGAATATTAGCTATTTTGTTGCTGCTAACCTTATTCATCTAGTTGGTTTCTGTCGTTAATGTTACTCAGTGAAAACGCCATCTCTCATAGCCAGAGTTCCCGAACGATAAGATTTTCCAGTTTTGTACAGTTAAGTCAACCAGGGCTAAAGTTAAGGTGTCTATAGTTTTTATTGATAAACCCATCATTAAAAAGGTGTGATACTCGGACGCATTTTGAAAACGTATCTTAAAATTATATGAATCATTTGAGTTTCGGGTAAAGATGATTGGTCAGATATTTCCCTCTAGCATTGTATAATTTCAAGTAGGTTGCTAAATGCTGCCTTCTAGTTAAGGAAAAGATATTACTTTATGTATTGGAACTGTGAGTAATTTAGATGGCAAATGAGAGATTAATGTATTGACATTCGACTACATATCGTATATATATCACAGTACACTTCATTATATTTATTCAGAATTTTATCCCAGATGAGAACTTTATTGGAATTCCCTCCGTTCATTAGAAAGTCAAGAATTTAACGTCTTTGTATATTCACGCTAATTGGTACTGATACAAACTGTAAAATCAAATTTTAATATCTCAGGTAAAAGTGTGCCACATAGGTTGTTATCTAGCTACAACTTTTTCCTTGAAAACTTACTTATCGGATCCAGGTCTTAAAACTAAACTGAATAGTGCAAACACAGGTCTATGATCAGATGAACGGATTGTATTGATACTGTTGTAATCTAAGCAGATCAAATTGCCTTTCTTTTTTGACATGAACAATATTCTGTCCTATCATGTTGAATAAACACAAGAAAAAGTGTATATATATGTAATCTTTTCCGTATAGTTAGGTTTTTAGATCAACAAAGTATCATTAAATCATAGTAAAGTTTTTAAAAAATGCTATGATAATAGATTTGTATATAATTTTCGTCTTGATCTGAATTAAACAGAAGAATCACTGAAAATTGATTAGTACTGACACTATTGTTTAATTATCATAGTTCTAAACTATCCAGTCGTACTTAGTCCTATTAAATCAAATAAAAACTGTTGGAGTGATGTACATTTACAACCTCACTTAACTTTTCCGATCAAGTTCTTTTCCTCTCCGATGTCAGTGGTATAACTGTAAATCTAAATGTGCACAATTTATCCTGAAACAACGAACAGCACGAGATGGTAAATGCTTTTTGATTTCCCATCCTGTAACTGCTTGGTAAATACTAATTATTTAAGTTGGTTAGGAAATATGTTAACACTAGCCAATAATTTCTTCCATCAATCCACCGTATCAACGGGCGTAATTAATATAAATATTGAAGGTAACCAAACAAAGATATGGGCTTAATCTGTGACGTTTCTAACCGTTACTCTAAGCTATCAAATGAGGTATGAGGTTGTTAAGGCAACCACAGTCCATAGTTGGTGGCATTGGACGACTGAAATAATCTCACAGAAACAAGTGAACTTAGCCTGTGTATTCGTTTTAATCATGAACTTGACAATCCACATTATTCACCTCCAGACTTTTTAGGTTTGCGAACTAAAGTTCTCGTGTTTAGTGTCCTACTATTTTGGCGAATGCTACTTAGAAGATAGTTTATAACCAGTATGTATCGGGACGTCGCGTGGAAGTTGCTACAGTCGACGACCAAAGAGAAGAGTTCCAGGAGGTCAAAAAGCACGACATATGTAGAATACTTTGGAGAACAGATGTCATTGCATAGTATTCTTGGACGCCAGTTCACTCGACAAGTCCCCAAATCAGAACAGGGTTGAATAGGAAAGAAATTATATTCTGAATAATAAGGGTAGATGGAACTAAGAAGCACAATAAGAGATAAGCTATTATATTTATGGTTTTTACATGAGAAGAATCTAGAGTCTTCTCCAAGCGTCGGCAAACTCTGATTGGATAAGAATTAACCAACCAGCGTGCACCAACGTAATCGTGCATGGAACGTGCTTTAATCCAATCTATGTCCCGCTAACAGGACAGAAGTGTAAGAAGACAGTCTAGAAGCGACTTGGATTGCAGAACATATAAGAGGCAGATGGATGTTTGAAGAATAAGAGTATATATTACATAAACATTTCTCTCTTCAGTGGCTTGTGGTCGCACTATGATTGATATTATTATTTTCACCACTTTTTATATTGCTTATTTCCTCCAGTAGTCCTGATGTCAAGTATGTTAAATTCAACTTATATTCAATTAGGAATTATCCTAATCTGTTTATGTCCGCTTGGTTCGACTGAATGACGCTAAAACATAATGCGTATAGAAAAGCGTGAAATGTTTAAGTAGTAAGCAAGATATTTGATTTTAAATAAGATTATTACTTATTTATTCAGTCCTGGTAGAACGATAATGAAAAGAAATCCCCATTACTTACTGTATATGATGGAACACGTTGTTTCTCGGACGAGTCGTAAACATCTGAATTGAGATCAAATTTGTAAGTTGGAGGGAAGCGAATACGGCCTTCGTCAAAATTCTGGAAGATTATACCTTTTAAGAAATAAAACACATATTTGTAACTGAATTTTCAATTATCCAATAAACCAGGATAATTTGCTGAAAATAAACATACTCGTTTTTTATAATCTTGAAGTCGTACATCCATTTCTCTGGAAGATATAAGATAAGGTTTAGAATGAGACTATTATTATTACTATCACCTTGAGGTATATACACTTGTTAAGTTGGAATTTAATAATTTAGCTGACGCTTGTTCTCAGACTAAAATTATACAGATCTGCTCTTAGGATCCAAGTGAAGTAACCAGAACACACAAATTACGCTTCGATTTGCCTAATTTCAAAATACTCGATATGTATAAAAACCCTTGAGAAGATCGTTTTCTCTGTGGTTTCGAACTGCTGGATAGACTGAAGAAAAAAAGAAGCCGATACGAAAACATGCTAAAAATGAAGTAGTACTGAGCTGTATATCTAGAATTTTCAGATGGTTTACACTCTTAGCAATCACAAAAGCTAAGTTTAAGTCTTCGTAGTGATTGAATTTCACTTTCATCTGTTATTTTGTAGACCTATTAGAAAGTACAGATTTGTATACTGAGCTTTAAGATACAGTTTATGAGTTGGAAATGCTGTTCCGTTCCCTGAAGTGAGATAGATGAAGTGACGTTCCAATTGAAGATCCGATTTTCACTTGATTATATAAAACAACATTTGGGCTGTAATTATCAGGACAGATTCGTAATTTTAAAATAATTCATTACATCATGGTGTAAAATTGAATCAAAAATATTGAACAACCTGTTTTACTAACACCAAGAGTGTTTTGAGAACTGTGAATTCGTATCAAAGGGTACTTTTCAGAAATGTAGATAAATCATACAAAACTTAATACAGTCTGTCAAGTCATATGTTTGAAACTTGCTTGGTTTGAACTACCGAGTGATATGATAAACTGCTTACAATGGGTATAGGAAATAGTTTACTACACATTCTTGTATTGAATAACGAATCGCATTAAATTTTGTTTTTTAATGTTTATGCTATGCGAAAAGCATTTATGATGGAGTGTTGTAAGCTTTGAAAACTATGTAAACATACTTTATACAGATGAGCCTACAGAAAATTTATTTCAAAAGTAAACTGTGCTTAATGTTATATATCAACTATATGAAGTTAGGAATTAAAGAATTGACTGATAATTAGGATATCACAATACTGTAGGTATTTATTACTACCATAGACAGTACCTAATGATGAGGATAATAATTTCTAATCTGCTTCTATGCAATCTACTGATGATATCCAAACAATGTTTTCTAGACTGGATTAAAACTTATTGGTAGCGTTCATATTTATTTTTTCAATTGCCCGAAATTGTACACTTTCAATACAGAGCCATAACGATAAAAACGGCAAATGACTAGTTTATACGGTATATTAGCATTTACAATTTTGCTCCCTGTAAAGCTTAAACGTTTAACTCAGTAACCATTTATATATTACCGTCTACACAGTTTTTGTATGGGTTCATTATTCCTACTCGTTGATTATCATTCTCTCAAACAAGTCGATAAACTTATATTCGAGAAAAGTGGCATTTTAGGATTAGTAGGTTTATGGTGTGAAGTTAACCACCCTTCTAATGTTCAATAAAACTTTAATATTTACCATTTCCAAGCATCTTTTCTATTTATCTAGTGGACGTGTGCTGCATATAAAAGCATGACTCATCGGAGATTTTATTCTAAACCTTCAAACTAATCCACATATATCCTCTATGAACACAGCACTGTAACTGTCCCTAACTTGCCAAATGAAAAAAAACTGAATAGAGGGGACGTTAGAGATTCAAATCAAATCTCCAGAGAAAATTATACTCTTACATGCCTCATTCATCAACTAATTGAATAGAAAAATTCCCGAAAATGATTGATGTCATTCACATTGAATATTGAGAAACGGATCAGCTACAAATTCATGGATGCATATTTCATCTCGTTTCATCCAGGTATATTTAATATTTTATTTGGATATCTGCCCATTTGAATATTTTATAAAATGCGTAGATAATTAGTCTACATCTTTTAGTAATAATTATGTTTATTGCGAATATCAATTTATTTTTAAGATTCTCAAATACAACGCGGAGAACGCCATGCCAATCACATTTGATGGAGGAACTCTGGAAGAGATGGAAACATTCACGTACCTGGGAAGCATCATTAATGAACAATGAGGATCTGATGCAGATGTAAGGGAGAGGATTGGCGAAGCGAGGGCAGCATTTCTACGATTGAAGAACATTTGGAACTCAAAACAACTCTCAACCAATATCGAAGTGAGAATCTTCAATACGAACATCAAGACAGTCCTACTGAACGGAGCTAAAGCGTGGAGAGCTACTACATCCATCGTCAAGAAGGTACAAGTATTTATAAATAGTTGTCTACACAAAATACTTAACATTCACTGATCGGATACCATCAGCAACAGCCTACTGTGGGAGAGGACAAACCATCTTTCAGTTGAAGAGGAAATTAGGAAAAGACGTTGGAAATACATTGAGGAAATCGTCAAACTGCATCATGAGGCAAGTACTAACTCGGAATCCTAAAGGGAATCAGAAAAGATGAGAGCCAAAGAACACAATACACCGGGAAATAGAATCAGATATGAAAAGGATGAATAACAACTGGAAAGAACTGAGAAGGATTTCTCAGGACGGGGTTGGATGGAGAATGGTGGTGGACGGCTTATGCTCCTCGACAAGGGGTAGCAGGCGTAAATAAGTAAGTACATATGGGCTTTTAAAACTAGTAGGAGTATAAAATAAGTCAGTATGAAACAAAACAATTATTGGGATTGAATACCAAGAAAAGCATAATTTATCCATTCGAATTAAAAAAAACTAGTTTTATTGATAAATACACATTATATGAGGAACCATTGAATATTAGCTTGTTAAAGTACCGTTTCTTGCTAATTGACAGTTATCAATAACGGCTCTACATGAGATTAAACCTGAAAATATACTTAGTATCTCTCAATCATCAGGATATCATTTGGCGATTAGGTAAGAAATCAATAATTCATAATTTCTAACTTTACTCAGTCATCATCATCTAGTATCACTAGTAGTCATTTTTCTTCTATCCAACTTAGCAAACTTTACAGGTTAAATGTTGTCATAGCAACTCCAGGGAATAAATTATCAAACCTATTCGCTTGCAAATTACTGAAGCAGTTTTTAAAGATTTGTTCAACTTAAAGAAAAATTTTAGTCACGAAATGATATCAAGCGGATTTCTGTCGCTCCAATTACTCTTCCATGTTACTGCGTCCAAAAACTGTAAGTATATGATTATGGCTGTCAGAAGTGTCTGTCAAGTAGTTTTGAGTAGATGGAAATGTTACGCGTCTATTTTAAATTTGATTATTTATATTCTGTATACATTTCGAGTTGTGTCAAGCTACAATATATAACTAAATATGTCCTTCAAAGTATAAATAAACAAATATATCAGCAAAGCCTACATATTTATTTACAAAGCTATGAGTTACCCATACTTTGTGGAATTGTTGGGATGATCCTGAAAAATTTCTCGCAATAGACGTGACAAGCTCAAGAAACATTAAGAAGTATTCTATCCAGCGTTTGATTAGAAGTTTTGCCAGAAATACCGCGAAAATTGAAGGTCACATGTAGAGGTTCTGATTGGCTGATTACTACACTGATACTATGGGTAGTAGTATTCTAGAATTTTCAGGAAAACCCAAAGACTTCTAAAATGCTATAAAAACCATATATTTTCTGTACATAAAGGAACCTTTGAAGTAAAGTGCTCCACCCACATTTTGCGCCTTTTTTCTCGTGTTCAAGTTGCTGTGTAGTTCTAGCTTGGGGGTTACGAGAATAGCTAAGGATCCGAGTATAGCGTTTAATAAGCAAGACTTATCAGGAATATAACGATACTTACCACTTTAATGTCTTATTGAGGGTTAATGGACAGGGTCATGTAACTAAAAGTGATTCCAAGTTAAGATATGTGGTCCATAACTACATCTTTTTCTTAAGTGGATCACATGCTTACTGTGAAGTAAATGTTTTTGAAAATATTCAATGTTTACCTTGTGACTGAGCATTGAGTAATTCATCAACCGATAGAAGTTCTTCAAATGTTCTTTGCTTATATTTTCCTTTAATTACATTTTCAACAATATGTCTTGGTCGTTGTATTCGAAAATTTAAATCACCTGCCCAAAATACAACATCGAACCGATCCAATGGATTGGATTCTATAAATGTATTTTAACAAACATTATTACTGTTTAAAATAAAAATGAAATATGTTTATTGGTACTTCAAAGTAATTTATAATATACAAATTCAAGATAAACTATGACTTTACATCAGCCCACGAATGAAATTACTGATCTTATTTGTTTATTTCCTATCTATACTTAAACTGTATTGTTGAGAGATCTGATAACTTAAACCAATGACATTGTTCTATTTTATTAGATCTATCATATGTGGTTTCTTAAGATTATTATCAAGTAAATTATCTGATCAAACAACATCAAGTATAACTCGTTTCTGAGTTATCGGTTAGACTCTCTAAATAGTAATCCACTTTAGTTCGATTTTAATCATCATGTGTATTAGTTAAATTATTTTAATATTTGGTGGAAATCAAGAGCAGATACTCTTCTCGTCATTACAACAATCATACAATGCTGGACTAAAAAAATATTTCCTTTAGAAACGACATTATTTGTATAACGTTTTTGAATGTATGAATATAGATATCAATTTTCTTATATACTCTTTTTATAATATCATTGATTGTGAGGTTCTAAATGCCTTTGTGATCATTAATTGAAGAGTAAGTCTCTACTTGATTGTATTTACTTGTGTATCAGTTTTTAAAATCTTTTTCTGATTTATATGTTATTTGTTTAATTATATGTAGTTTTGTATATTTTAAATATGATCTCATTACTAACTGATGCCATTTTCTAGAAAACTAATAAGAGGACAGATCACCTGATTTCCCTTGATGTTTACACTTGTTTTTCAAGATTTGTCAAACTGACATCCGTTTTTAAACAAAGTTTCCTGAAAATGTGCGGAGATCTTCTGAAAGCTACTTTGCTTACTGTTTCTATCTGATAAGCTTTTCCTAATAAACAAAATGCTGAATAAATTCGACCTTTGATTTGATCAGTAGAAAATTTTAACTCTTAAAAATAACGCAAAATTAAAAGTGAATGTTGAAAATTGATTCAGTTTGTCGAACAGATGAATTCAATCGCGTAGAAGATAAAACATTTCATTACATTCAACTACGAAAAATTTAGTACATGAATGAGAAATTTTCTTGACACCAGTAAGACAGACTTCACTGGTATTTTATAAAAATGTTTAAACGTTTAAAGCGCATTTAACAGTAACTATTTACTACAAATTATAGTATACCTTCGTATTTATATCCTTTGTTGAAACCAACTTTTGGTAGATTAATATTATTCACTACTTGTAAATAATCTTGAACTCTCCGGTCAAAGTTTGTATGATTTGCTAAAATCGTATTGAAACAAATGCCGGTTATTTGAAATTTTATTAGTTCAAACTTGGCCATTATGACAAATAAATATTTCAAAAAATATGAAGCTCCTTTAAAATATATTTACAACAGCTAAGAAGTTTGGTAAGCAAAGATGGATAATGGCTAGCAGTAGAATCCAGATCGCGCGTTTCGTCCTATTTGGGACTCGTCAGTTGGACGTACCTGCATCTCAGAGTTGATGTTCACTCTTGGACTCGAACCCAGTACCTTTCGCTTCAAACGCCGTCGCGTTATCCATTCGGCCACTGAATCCTGATAGCCACTTGCTTAAGCAATAGGGTGAAGTTTAAATTCACTTAGTATTGTTTGTTTGAATCTTCCCATTGATGTTTTAGGACTGTGACTGGCCAGTCTCTCATTGGCATATGTGCATACTGTGAGTATTGCCTCAATATAGCCTAAATTCACAAGCATGGTAAGCAAAGATGGATGTGAATCTAGGCTATATTGAGGCAATACGCACAGTATGCACATATGTTAATGAGAGACTGACCAGTTGCAGTCCTAAAACACTAATGGGAAGATTCGAACAAACAATACTATGTGAAGCTAAGAAGATTGTTGTTTGTATGTGGTCGATGGTTTTTTATAAATCATAACATGTTTTAGCTCTCTATTTACTTTAAAAGTCAAACTGACAAAATGTATAAATAATTGCAAGGTTTTTATTAAATAGCTTTGACTAGACGGTGTTAAGAAATGTTTCAGTTTTCATAGAGAGATAAGAACGACAAGAAATTCATTATAGCGCTATATTGACGGAGTTTGATAGCAATTCAATGTGAGGCAAATGTTTGGTACTTTAATGAAATCATATAGTACGAAATTCCCTATATTTTTACTGACGTTATTGAAAATCACCCTGATGTATGATGAAAATTTATAATTGGAAGGCGTAAAAATATGATTTTAAAATCTTTTCATCTGCTTTCTTTTATTTTTGTGGTATTTTGAATGGGGTCAGCTAAAAATAATGAAAGACATCGAAACAATTCCAACACACAACATTATATGATATAGTACATAGAATGAAGGGATGAATTAGCGTTGTATTTTATTTCACAGAGGCAAAAGAAAATTTATTTACGTTTTGTGGTAAAAACGGTGTTTTGTAGTATTCCATTGAAATTAAACGCTGAATTTCGGTTTGTTGTTTTTTAAATTGTATTGGTGTCAGATAAGTACATCAAAGAAGTCCGATACAGTAAAAACATAAAGCATAGTCTAGGGATTTGTTGTATCGGGTACGTGGCTGCTTGTGTTCACCGTCGAATTAGCAGACTTTACATGCTACAGCTGTCTACTAGAACTTCAAATGATCTATTTCGAAGTGATTAGCTAAGAATTTTTATCAGGATTTGGTCATTCTATGATAAAACAATCGTTTGATGAAATAGCACACATATAGTTAATTTATAAGTAACATGTATTCACTTTTTAGTAAATTGTTTTACTAAAATTGCTAAACTCTTCTGAACACCTTTTTGTCTTCTGATATCGGTTTCACCTCATTACTTCAGTTGTCACAAAAGAGCATCAGATAATTTCTCAACGCGTATACAGCCAAACATATAGAATGTTGAAACTGGAACAAAGGTTCATCCGTTCATGTTGCCACACCACATAAGCACAGCGAAATAAGGATATCAAGACGAATGCTAGAGTAGTAGTAACCCTAACCACAAACATACATTACTTTCCGTTTTAATACTCGATAATTTTTTATTGGGTATCTGCTAATTATTTTCAGTCAACAGAGATGGATAATATAATGATTACAAATCATTTTCCTACTCAGCAGAAATGTGTAAAATGGTGGATTACTTGACTTTAAATTATAGACTATGTTGCAGTTGCACAGACAAGAATTAGTGAACCGATGCGTTCTCATCAATAAGTTACATGTGTCACTCATGTTTTTATCTCGGATTATCATGAATGGCTCAGCAATTATCATTCCAGCGCTAGCAAGCTAAGTGATAATTTAGTCATTTAGACCAAAAGCCAACGCAAGTGTAAAGAACTGGTATTCAATGGATTCATCGTCCAATATGTTAATAATGTTGTCAGCATCTCAACCGTGGTTTTTGTGCATAATGTTTTGTTCAACTAGGAACAGTGATTTAAAATAATTTCGCTCTTTATATTGTCTCATATATGCGTTTTTATATGACTTGTCAAATAATGTAAATGATACCGATGTCAAACAAGATTTTCTGCCGCGGACATAACAATTCCCAAAATACTATACAGAAAAATTGTCGTAACTTGTTCTCGGGGAATGAAGTATATTTACTGCGTTAACTAGATATATGCACATAAAGTTACTAAAATTTCACAAGCAGTCCTTTTTAATTCCTTTCAAATATTTAATGATTTACCTTTAAAATGAGATGAAAGAAATAGAATCGATGTACCAAAAAGTATAAAGCAAATAGCTACAGCTCCTTTAGTTCGTACAGCAGCTGAAGTTGTGACTCCAACTGACTGAGGCACTACAATATAAAATAAAAATGCATATAGGTATATGGGATTTGTGGAATATTTAGGGGTTTGACCAATGTTTAAAACACGTTTACGGACTTCACGACAGGTAAAAAAGGTTGAAAAGTGTTAAATATGTAATATATCACCATTGACCTAGTCCTCCTATCCTATACACACGAACAAATACAGACGAAGACAACAAATGTAGCAGCATCCTCTGCATCGATAGGCCCCAACATACACAAAGGAAAAATCAAGATTCTCAAATACAACGCGGAGAACGCCATGCCAATCACATTTGATGGAGGAACTCTGGAAGAGATGGAAACATTCACGTACCTGGGAAGCATCATTAATGAACAATGAGGATCTGATGCAGATGTAAGGGAGAGGATTGGCGAAGCGAGGGCAGCATTTCTACGATTGAAGAACATTTGGAACTCAAAACAACTCTCAACCAATATCGAAGTGAGAATCTTCAATACGAACATCAAGACAGTCCTACTGAACGGAGCTAAAGCGTGGAGAGCTACTACATCCATCGTCAAGAAGGTACAAGTATTTATAAATAGTTGTCTACACAAAATACTTAACATTCACTGATCGGATACCATCAGCAACAGCCTACTGTGGGAGAGGACAAACCATCTTTCAGTTGAAGAGGAAATTAGGAAAAGACGTTGGAAATACATTGAGGAAATCGTCAAACTGCATCATGAGGCAAGTACTAACTCGGAATCCTAAAGGGAATCAGAAAAGATGAGAGCCAAAGAACACAATACACCGGGAAATAGAATCAGATATGAAAAGGATGAATAACGACTGGTAAGGATTTCTCAGGATAGGGTTGGATTGAGAAGGCTGGTGGGCGGCCTATGCTCGTCAACGAAGGGTAACAGGCGTAAGTAAGTAAGTAAATAAATAGAAGGGCAATAGATATTATTAAAGTTCATAGTAATTTCGGATGAGGATTATGTATACTTTCTGTTTAGGTGTGATGTATTTAATCTTTACCCTAAACGTTACTCAAAATATGACTGTACAACCAAACTGGATAGTGGGTTTTCAACAGTCAAATGTATGATTAGCAATCTACCAACAACAGTCAGACGCAAAGTTTTGAAAACGTTAGAGCCGTTATCCATCAAAATTCCTCGATCCAACTGATGTACACATTACGTTTTCACCTATATCTTCATAACTTACGCTCATTTATTTCAAATAATATTACCAATATTACTTTGAGTATGTGCAAAATGCATTTACAAAATAAACGCTTTGTGGACGCAATAATAAGATTTAGGATTTCAGTTAAATTCTAGAAACTTGAACCATGGCTAGGCACTTACGTAAAACCTTTTTCCATTACAACTGATGGAATGATTCTTTAAAAGTTTATTCTATAACAAACAAGACTATAACTTTGAATTCTTTTATTTAACAGCCAATTAAGTAGAATGAACTCCCTTCATATTTTATATATTTCAGTAACTTAATTTGGATGTTAATATTTATGTTCAGTTCAGTTAGTTCTTACTCATTCCCAATGACTTTTTGACCATGTTGAATCCATATTCACTGTGAAAGCCAGAGGCTTATTTCTAATGAAGATATATAATCCACATAATTAATGAGAAAAACTGATTACCACCCAGAGATCAATCAATTGTGATTACATCTCAGTCCTGCAGGAGGTCGGTCGCGGCCCGAGTAGCTCAGTGGTGACCTCTCTGACTGTGAAGCTGAGTGACACGGGAACTAATCCGTCAGGAAGCACCAGTTCCCTCAAGATTACAGGTACACCTTGCTGAAGAGTGCCAAGTAGCGCGAAACCCGGATCCAGGGTTTCCTGTTGACCACCTCCAACCACCATCTTATGAGAAAAAATGGCCCAATATGGTTCAGAAAGACATTACTCAAGTAATATTTTGATGATTTCAAAGAAACATACATTCCCGAACATAGTAATTTCTGAATAAAATCAGTTGATTAAATTTAAAATAAAATATTCGAAGCCCAAATAGAATAAAAATTGTCAAACAATCATAACTATATTCCAAAATTACCGTTACACATACCCGAAGTATACCATATAAGATCGCGATTTAGGAATATCATTAAAGCCAATGTCCCATGGGTTGCATACGTAAACAGAACATGTTTTATGCCAATAGCAGCTTGCAATCTCACAAGAAGTTCGTTTCTTTAGGTAATCAAGCAGAGTTATGATAAAATTATTTATAACGAGCAAGAAACATGAGATGAGGGACTAGTTGGTGAATATTTTTACTTTGAACTGCAATGTAAAACACAGTGCCCTTTAGACCATTTATGGTGAATAAACATCCAATGACAAGTTTATTTTAAATGCACATTTTTATCAAACAGTGAAGTGTTTAGATAAAGCTGTTTGCTCTTATTCACTTATGATTTCTTTAATTTGATATTTTGTGAGGTAATTACTGCGCTAAGTTTCAAAGAATTTTAAAGGCAAGTCCAAGCGATGTACTTGTTATTTGTGCTTTCAAAAGAACGCCACATCCTTAGTTTTTTGTCTAAAGTAGAAACGGGGAAAAAGTGACTTAAACAATGTATGATTTGCTCGGAATTAAGTCGCTCATTCCTTTGCCTTAAAATATGTTTTTTCTCATGAAGTATTATCGAAGTTAGGAGATCAATTATTGTATCAATAAAAAAAATCGTGGTCACTTACAATTTATTCTTGAACTTCTACCCCGAACATAACTCAGAGGATAATCCCCTACAATTTAAAGCTAAAATTTTGAATTGAGGTTCCTCTTGCCTTTTTAATAACATATATCTTGAAAAGGGTAGTTCTTTTCCGACTGAAGGGTTAATTCATGGACGCGACCTATCTTGAAAATATGGCTAAACATTTATATGGAGATTAAGAGTGTTGCAAGAACACCACTTTACCTCGTACTAAATACAAGACAATACTAATAAAATAAAGGCATAGCTGATTACTGCCTTTCGAAGTGACTGATAGTGCTAATTAAGCTAAAATAAGAAAAATAATACAGTATTCAAAAAAACGAAACAAAATCATTGCTGGTACAATTGGGCTATCATTAAATCACTATTTAACTCGCCACAAAGCTAGATAATAACGGAACTTTGACGAGTGATTCCAAGACTAGACATTATAATGAACAAAAATTACCATATGTACAGGAATTCAATTTGTTGTAAATATACAAACTCACTTATCGGAAGAACACTCTTGTATACAAATGGCATAAATGCTTGCAGCTTCGTCGGAAGACCCACTGAAGAATAGATCACTTAAATCTTCTGGATAAAACTTTTCTGTAAACCTAGCGGAATGTTTTAACTGTTACCTGAGACTTCATGGATAACATATTCCACGTAACAACTTGAATATCTATGTTACTACTTGGAATTATCTTGTTTAGTTCCCTTATTCCCAATAAAGAGCCGGCACCTCCAGCTATACTCCCGACTAAGTAGTTTCTAACAAACAGTAAATCTCTTTCGAGCTCAGAAATCGCACTTACTTAGTCACCAACTCAGTTTTAGTTGCTGTGAGTGATGAGACAAACGACGATACACTTCCTGATGGTCGCAATTTATATCCACTGGAAACAGTGGAGCAAGTATCTGTTGAGGGAACATCTAATTCAATCCTGAGACTTGAAGACGGTTTCGAAGTAGATTCCTGCGGATCCATAGACTAAATACCCATGGAAAATAATGCGGGTTAACTAATTGGAAGACTCCAGATAACTTCATGCACCAATTATATGTATGACTAAATGTTGATCTTCATCCTCTAGTACGTCCAGGTATACTTTGGAAGCAATTTACCTGTAAGGGAAGATTGGAGAGTAGCAAGTTTGAGAAAATCTGCAGAAAAAAATAACAAAAAAAATTAGGTACACATTTGGCTAATGGTATTCACTTACACTTAAAAAGAGGACGGGAAATAGTAATGAGAAGTGATTAAAGCATTAACTTATTACAGTCTGATGAAGTGGGATTTAGGACGCGTTAGTAGTTCGTACAGTGCACGTTTCCTTGTAGCCTAGATTTCGAAAATTCGAAAGGGAAAAACAAACGGTGACTTCAATGAAAACGTTTTGCATCTAGTATATTTGTAATGGGTTTGTGTTAGTAAATTAGTGTGTATGCGTCAGTGTTTTATGTTTAAAAACGGCACTAGATCTTTTGTAGTGTCCGATGTGATTATTCCAGTAAATCTGTGACATATTTCTTAGTGAATTACAACGATATATGAAAGATCATGAAATGGTCAAAGTGAGATTGAAAAAAATGAAACCAATGAAAGAAATATCGTTTTGAAATTATCGCAGCTGAGGCTAGATAGTTTAAGTGGGTGCATAGCCTTCTAATGGATGCACTTATAAAGATGGAATTCTTGTTTTTGATGGTGAAAGCCATGCCTCACCGGAATGATTGGTTGGCTACCGGTTAATGGTTTTTAAATAATTATCAAGTGTGTAGTGCCAATGAAACGTCACTGGATCCCAGCCAAATCACCCGAGAGCCTGGTCACTGAATATCTAACACTTCATCGATCCGCGTCAAGTTCAAAGAAAACGAACGCGTATCTAAAGTACGCACATCCCCGATGCGTTCTCATCAATAAGTTACATGTGTCACTCATGTTTTTATCTCGGATTATCATGAATGGCTCAGCAATTATCATTCCAGCGCTAGCAAGCTAAGTGATAATTTAGTCATTTAGACCAAAAGCCAACGCAAGTGTAAAGAACTGGTATTCAATGGATTCATCGTCCAATATGTTAATAATGTTGTCAGCATCTCAACCGTGGTTTTTGTGCATAATGTTTTGTTCAACTAGGAACAGTGATTTAAAATAATTTCGCTCTTTATATTGTCTCATATATGCGTTTTTATATGACTTGTCAAATAATGTAAATGATACCGATGTCAAACAAGATTTTCTGCCGCGGACATAACAATTCCCAAAATACTATACAGAAAAATTGTCGTAACTTGTTCTCGGGGAATGAAGTATATTTACTGCGTTAACTAGATATATGCACATAAAGTTACTAAAATTTCACAAGCAGTCCTTTTTAATTCCTTTCAAATATTTAATGATTTACCTTTAAAATGAGATGAAAGAAATAGAATCGATGTACCAAAAAGTATAAAGCAAATAGCTACAGCTCCTTTAGTTCGTACAGCAGCTGAAGTTGTGACTCCAACTGACTGAGGCACTACAATATAAAATAAAAATGCATATAGGTATATGGGATTTGTGGAATATTTAGGGGTTTGACCAATGTTTAAAACACGTTTACGGACTTCACGACAGGTAAAAAAGGTTGAAAAGTGTTAAATGTGTAATAAATAAAATAAAAAATTATAAATGTATGACTTGTGGCTTCATTAAGCTGCTTTCCTAAAGATAATTTATCACAGCCTTTTTTCTAAGAAACCACTCATTACAAAATAGGTGCCATTGCACTTCCCTATAAATCACAAACCAGAACTAGACAATATTTAACGTTCATCAGGACAACACCTCTTTCCTCGTAAGTAGATATTCAGAGAAACAAGGCTTAAAGAAGGACCCCATTTTTTAAGCTGTAGGGAAAGATCGATTTCACTGGTCCCTAGACGGACCAATATCCGGGCAGTTAGGACAACCCTGTACTTTCATTACTACATATGGCTCCTGGATCCTTTATATATGAAACCATTAGGAGAGTCATTGTTTTCAATGCGCAGTCATTCGATCCGCTGAAATGAATGGCCTGAAATACAGCACTTCTGCTGGAATTTAATAATAATGACCAGTTTTACCACTTAGTCAGACTCTTCAAATATTTTCTTCCTATTTAACAAAACGAACTGTGTGAATATTATTATTCACTCAACAACCTGTTTCCAGGATCTCCATTCTTAGTCCAAGACTCAGGCGAGGCATTTTATCGATAAATTTACTAAGACCTATGTAAGTTGCACCTACTTAAATATTTTCATTTTCCCCTTCAGCTGCATCTTCCCCTGAAGTGGAAGGCCTAGTTGAACATAGAAGAACTTTTCCGGAATTATGTTCCCCCTTGCATTAGATTTACTTTCTTCTACGTCCCCGGGACTTATAGCCTGGATAATTGCTTCCGCTGACTAAACTGTAGTACGAATCAAGGTACCACGAGAACAGTAGATCAGTGAGCGTTCAATTCCGTTACCATAAGCCGTATTATTTTTTCATATTAAGAGTTATAGCTGATTTGGACAGTTCTATTTGTGGTACGGTAATTATATTTCCCAGTCAACAGTTAACCAATAAAATTTCGGAAGAATCAAAATATTATGGCCAGATGTTATGTGGTTCTTGATTTCAAGCAGAAATTACATTTTCAGTTTTCTACTTCTGGTTAGTGAAAGATTTGTTTTGCAAAGAAAATATTTCATACCTCTATTGTGTAATGAACGTTAAAGTAAGACTATTTAAGTTTGTTTATTATATGACAACCGAATGAGAAGGTAGTTTTAACAAATTCTTTTATAAATAAATACCTGACTTATCAACGGTCGGCCATTTTCGGAACTAATGGTTGTTTTTTCACCATTATCTTTCCCACAACTCTTGACGCAGTAATGTTGGCAATATTTCAACTTCGTCAACACTTTTGTTTATTAGGGCCAGTGAATCAGCAGGATTCCAACATTTCTATGCCTCTGTCCATTAATATAAGAGAGCGAAATTTCGATTATTTCCAGATTACAGAAATGCAGTTTCTCAAAAAATAATTTGATTTTGTTGATCAACCTGTTTTTCGATTGTTATCATGGAATAATGAGATTGGAGATTTCGCAAGTATTCTAAAAAGGGGATGTGCGTACTATAGATACGCGTTCGTTTTATTTGAACTTGACGCGGACCTATAAATATTCCACAAATCCCATATACCTATATGCATTTTTATTTTATATTGTAGTGCCTCAGTCAGTTGGAGTCACAACTTCAGCTGCTGTACGAACTAAAGGAGCTGTAGCTATTTGCTTTATACTTTTTGGTACATCGATTCTATTTCTTTCATCTCATTTTAAAGGTAAATCATTAAATATTTGAAAGGAATTAAAAAGGACTGCTTGTGAAATTTTAGTAACTTTATGTGCATATATCTAGTTAACGCAGTAAATATACTTCATTCCCCGAGAACAAGTTACGACAATTTTTCTGTATAGTATTTTGGGAATTGTTATGTCCGCGGCAGAAAATCTTGTTTGACATCGGTATCATTTACATTATTTGACAAGTCATATAAAAACGCATATATGAGACAATATAAAGAGCGAAATTATTTTAAATCACTGTTCCTAGTTGAACAAAACATTATGCACAAAAACCACGGTTGAGATGCTGACAACATTATTAACATATTGGACGATGAATCCATTGAATACCAGTTCTTTACACTTGCGTTGGCTTTTGGTCTAAGTGACTAAATTATCACTTAGCTTGCTAGCGCTGGAATGATAATTGCTGAGCCATTCATGATAATCCGAGATAAAAACATGAGTGACACATGTAACTTATTGATGAGAACGCATCGGGGATGTGCGTACTTTAGATACGCGTTCGTTTTCTTTGAACTTGACGCGGATCGATGAAGTGTTAGATATTCAGTGACCAGGCTCTCGGGTGATTTGGCTGGGATCCAGTGACGTTTCATTGGCACTACACACTTGATAATTATTTAAAAACCATTAACCGGTAGCCAACCAATCATTCCGGTGAGGCATGGCTTTCACCATCAAAAACAAGAATTCCATCTTTATAAGTGCATCCATTAGAAGGCTATGCACCCACTTAAACTATCTAGCCTCAGCTGCGATAATTTCAAAACGATATTTCTTTCATTGGTTTCATTTTTTTCAATCTCACTTTGACCATTTCATGATCTTTCATATATCGTTGTAATTCACTAAGAAATATGTCACAGATTTACTGGAATAATCACATCGGACACTACAAAAGATCTAGTGCCGTTTTTAAACATAAAACACTGACGCATACACACTAATTTACTAACACAAACCCATTACAAATATACTAGATGCAAAACGTTTTCATTGAAGTCACCGTTTGTTTTTCCCTTTCGAATTTTCGAAATCTAGGCTACAAGGAAACGTGCACTGTACGAACTACTAACGCGTCCTAAATCCCACTTCATCAGACTGTAATAAGTTAATGCTTTAATCACTTCTCATTACTATTTCCCGTCCTCTTTTTAAGTGTAAGTGAATACCATTAGCCAAATGTGTACCTAATTTTTTTTGTTATTTTTTTCTGCAGATTTTCTCAAACTTGCTACTCTCCAATCTTCCCTTACAGGTAAATTGCTTCCAAAGTATACCTGGACGTACTAGAGGATGAAGATCAACATTTAGTCATACATATAATTGGTGCATGAAGTTATCTGGAGTCTTCCAATTAGTTAACCCGCATTATTTTCCATGGGTATTTAGTCTATGGATCCGCAGGAATCTACTTCGAAACCGTCTTCAAGTCTCAGGATTGAATTAGATGTTCCCTCAACAGATACTTGCTCCACTGTTTCCAGTGGATATAAATTGCGACCATCAGGAAGTGTATCGTCGTTTGTCTCATCACTCACAGCAACTAAAACTGAGTTGGTGACTAAGTAAGTGCGATTTCTGAGCTCGAAAGAGATTTACTGTTTGTTAGAAACTACTTAGTCGGGAGTATAGCTGGAGGTGCCGGCTCTTTATTGGGAATAAGGGAACTAAACAAGATAATTCCAAGTAGTAACATAGATATTCAAGTTGTTACGTGGAATATGTTATCCATGAAGTCTCAGGTAACAGTTAAAACATTCCGCTAGGTTTACAGAAAAGTTTTATCCAGAAGATTTAAGTGATCTATTCTTCAGTGGGTCTTCCGACGAAGCTGCAAGCATTTATGCCATTTGTATACAAGAGTGTTCTTCCGATAAGTGAGTTTGTATATTTACAACAAATTGAATTCCTGTACATATGGTAATTTTTGTTCATTATAATGTCTAGTCTTGGAATCACTCGTCAAAGTTCCGTTATTATCTAGCTTTGTGGCGAGTTAAATAGTGATTTAATGATAGCCCAATTGTACCAGCAATGATTTTGTTTCGTTTTTTTGAATACTGTATTATTTTTCTTATTTTAGCTTAATTAGCACTATCAGTCACTTCGAAAGGCAGTAATCAGCTATGCCTTTATTTTATTAGTATTGTCTTGTATTTAGTACGAGGTAAAGTGGTGTTCTTGCAACACTCTTAATCTCCATATAAATGTTTAGCCATATTTTCAAGATAGGTCGCGTCCATGAATTAACCCTTCAGTCGGAAAAGAACTACCCTTTTCAAGATATATGTTATTAAAAAGGCAAGAGGAACCTCAATTCAAAATTTTAGCTTTAAATTGTAGGGGATTATCCTCTGAGTTATGTTCGGGGTAGAAGTTCAAGAATAAATTGTAAGTGACCACGATTTTTTTTATTGATACAATAATTGATCTCCTAACTTCGATAATACTTCATGAGAAAAAACATATTTTAAGGCAAAGGAATGAGCGACTTAATTCCGAGCAAATCATACATTGTTTAAGTCACTTTTTCCCCGTTTCTACTTTAGACAAAAAACTAAGGATGTGGCGTTCTTTTGAAAGCACAAATAACAAGTACATCGCTTGGACTTGCCTTTAAAATTCTTTGAAACTTAGCGCAGTAATTACCTCACAAAATATCAAATTAAAGAAATCATAAGTGAATAAGAGCAAACAGCTTTATCTAAACACTTCACTGTTTGATAAAAATGTGCATTTAAAATAAACTTGTCATTGGATGTTTATTCACCATAAATGGTCTAAAGGGCACTGTGTTTTACATTGCAGTTCAAAGTAAAAATATTCACCAACTAGTCCCTCATCTCATGTTTCTTGCTCGTTATAAATAATTTTATCATAACTCTGCTTGATTACCTAAAGAAACGAACTTCTTGTGAGATTGCAAGCTGCTATTGGCATAAAACATGTTCTGTTTACGTATGCAACCCATGGGACATTGGCTTTAATGATATTCCTAAATCGCGATCTTATATGGTATACTTCGGGTATGTGTAACGGTAATTTTGGAATATAGTTATGATTGTTTGACAATTTTTATTCTATTTGGGCTTCGAATATTTTATTTTAAATTTAATCAACTGATTTTATTCAGAAATTACTATGTTCGGGAATGTATGTTTCTTTGAAATCATCAAAATATTACTTGAGTAATGTCTTTCTGAACCATATTGGGCCATTTTTTCTCATAAGATGGTGGTTGGAGGTGGTCAACAGGAAACCCTGGATCCGGGTTTCGCGCTACTTGGCACTCTTCAGCAAGGTGTACCTGTAATCTTGAGGGAACTGGTGCTTCCTGACGGATTAGTTCCCGTGTCACTCAGCTTCACAGTCAGAGAGGTCACCACTGAGCTACTCGGGCCGCGACCGACCTCCTGCAGGACTGAGATGTAATCACAATTGATTGATCTCTGGGTGGTAATCAGTTTTTCTCATTAATTATGTGGATTATATATCTTCATTAGAAATAAGCCTCTGGCTTTCACAGTGAATATGGATTCAACATGGTCAAAAAGTCATTGGGAATGAGTAAGAACTAACTGAACTGAACATAAATATTAACATCCAAATTAAGTTACTGAAATATATAAAATATGAAGGGAGTTCATTCTACTTAATTGGCTGTTAAATAAAAGAATTCAAAGTCATAGTCTTGTTTGTTATAGAATAAACTTTTAAAGAATCATTCCATCAGTTGTAATGGAAAAAGGTTTTACGTAAGTGCCTAGCCATGGTTCAAGTTTCTAGAATTTAACTGAAATCCTAAATCTTATTATTGCGTCCACAAAGCGTTTATTTTGTAAATGCATTTTGCACATACTCAAAGTAATATTGGTAATATTATTTGAAATAAATGAGCGTAAGTTATGAAGATATAGGTGAAAACGTAATGTGTACATCAGTTGGATCGAGGAATTTTGATGGATAACGGCTCTAACGTTTTCAAAACTTTGCGTCTGACTGTTGTTGGTAGATTGCTAATCATACATTTGACTGTTGAAAACCCACTATCCAGTTTGGTTGTACAGTCATATTTTGAGTAACGTTTAGGGTAAAGATTAAATACATCACACCTAAACAGAAAGTATACATAATCCTCATCCGAAATTACTATGAACTTTAATAATATCTATTGCCCTTCTATTTATTTACTTACTTACTTACGCCTGTTACCCTTCGTTGACGAGCATAGGCCGCCCACCAGCCTTCTCAATCCAACCCTATCCTGAGAAATCCTTACCAGTCGTTATTCATCCTTTTCATATCTGATTCTATTTCCCGGTGTATTGTGTTCTTTGGCTCTCATCTTTTCTGATTCCCTTTAGGATTCCGAGTTAGTACTTGCCTCATGATGCAGTTTGACGATTTCCTCAATGTATTTCCAACGTCTTTTCCTAATTTCCTCTTCAACTGAAAGATGGTTTGTCCTCTCCCACAGTAGGCTGTTGCTGATGGTATCCGATCAGTGAATGTTAAGTATTTTGTGTAGACAACTATTTATAAATACTTGTACCTTCTTGACGATGGATGTAGTAGCTCTCCACGCTTTAGCTCCGTTCAGTAGGACTGTCTTGATGTTCGTATTGAAGATTCTCACTTCGATATTGGTTGAGAGTTGTTTTGAGTTCCAAATGTTCTTCAATCGTAGAAATGCTGCCCTCGCTTCGCCAATCCTCTCCCTTACATCTGCATCAGATCCTCATTGTTCATTAATGATGCTTCCCAGGTACGTGAATGTTTCCATCTCTTCCAGAGTTCCTCCATCAAATGTGATTGGCATGGCGTTCTCCGCGTTGTATTTGAGAATCTTGATTTTTCCTTTGTGTATGTTGGGGCCTATCGATGCAGAGGATGCTGCTACATTTGTTGTCTTCGTCTGTATTTGTTCGTGTGTATAGGATAGGAGGACTAGGTCAATGGTGATATATTACATATTTAACACTTTTCAACCTTTTTTACCTGTCGTGAAGTCCGTAAACGTGTTTTAAACATTGGTCAAACCCCTAAATATTCCACAAATCCCATATACCTATATGCATTTTTATTTTATATTGTAGTGCCTCAGTCAGTTGGAGTCACAACTTCAGCTGCTGTACGAACTAAAGGAGCTGTAGCTATTTGCTTTATACTTTTTGGTACATCGATTCTATTTCTTTCATCTCATTTTAAAGGTAAATCATTAAATATTTGAAAGGAATTAAAAAGGACTGCTTGTGAAATTTTAGTAACTTTATGTGCATATATCTAGTTAACGCAGTAAATATACTTCATTCCCCGAGAACAAGTTACGACAATTTTTCTGTATAGTATTTTGGGAATTGTTATGTCCGCGGCAGAAAATCTTGTTTGACATCGGTATCATTTACATTATTTGACAAGTCATATAAAAACGCATATATGAGACAATATAAAGAGCGAAATTATTTTAAATCACTGTTCCTAGTTGAACAAAACATTATGCACAAAAACCACGGTTGAGATGCTGACAACATTATTAACATATTGGACGATGAATCCATTGAATACCAGTTCTTTACACTTGCGTTGGCTTTTGGTCTAAGTGACTAAATTATCACTTAGCTTGCTAGCGCTGGAATGATAATTGCTGAGCCATTCATGATAATCCGAGATAAAAACATGAGTGACACATGTAACTTATTGATGAGAACGCATCGGTTCACTAATTCTTGTCTGTGCAACTGCAACATAGTCTATAATTTAAAGTCAAGTAATCCACCATTTTACACATTTCTGCTGAGTAGGAAAATGATTTGTAATCATTATATTATCCATCTCTGTTGACAGAAAATGATTTCTTATTTATTTAATTTTCGAGATTGCCTTCACTTCTTTGTCCTTCACTGGTCTCTTCAGTTCTCTGTATCCCTTTTTTTGTTTCTTCAATGCATCATATACTTGTTTCTTATTTCATTCTCTTGCAGCTGTTTCGGCCATGGCTGCCTGTTTTTCCACGTATTTCTAGTTGCTGGCTCTGACGCTCTTCTTCACTTGTTTGTTTGCTGCTGCGTACTCTGCCTGTGCATTTACTTTCTGTGCTCGTGTTCGACTTTTGTTAAATGCTGTTTTACTGTTTTTTTCTTCTTCAATCTTTTCCAGGGTTCACATAGAGTTCCATTCCTCATGATGATGCTTCTAACGACCCGAACCTCCTGACACCTTGAGGTTAATGCTTCTTTGATCCCTTTCTAGTTATCCTCCATCGTAGTTTCGTATTCTTTCAGTCAATTGTGTAAAGTTTGGAGCATGTTGTTGAGAGTTATCTTGAACTGGTTAAGTTTGTTAGTATCTCGAAGGAATGCTGTATTGAAACTTTGTAAGGCTGTTTCCCCAGTTGTCTAGTGTTACTTTAGCTTCATCTTTGCCACAACCAGCCAGTGGTGATCTGAAGCTGTCAGCTTCTCTGCTGGTTCTCACATCTTCCATAGTCCTTCGGAATTTTTCGTTAATACAAATATGATCTATCTGGTTCTCTGTGGTGTGGTCCGTTGAGATCTAATAGGCTTAGCGTATGCGTTGTGTGGACATATTGTTTCGCTTATAAATAAATTGTTGAATGCACATACGCTTGCAAATCTCTCCTTATTTTCATTTCTCTCTCACAGTCCATGTCGTCTCATGTTATTAAAAATGCGACCAGTATCCTAGTTTGACAATTATTAACCAGTAACACCTTCTACATCCGAATCGTCCCCCACTTAATTAAAATCAGAAGCCAGACGCGAAGAGGTTGGAAAGATATATTTGATATATCGAAAAGCGATTGCTCTACTCTGGCTAGTGAACGTAGGAGCTGTTTCCCACACTGAATCGTAACATGATCTGGTGCAGATGCATGACCGAAGGACTTCAGCTAAACATGTCCACTTAAAACAATGTGGTCAACATCCAATGTAGAACACTTAAAGAGCTATTGATTTTGGGTAATTATTTATAGCTACAATATCTTCATAATCAGTGTTATCCATGCCGACTTTAGCGTTTAGATCTCTCATCAGGATGGTGATGTCTTTTCTTGGGCACTTAACTATGATTGATTGCCACCTCGAGTAGAACTGATCCTCATCATCGTCGTTGCTATCATAGGTGGGTGCATAACAATGGATAACAGTCATTGTGATCCCCTCCTTCTCTGTTTCGAATAATGCTTTGACGATTCTGGATCCATGAGATTCCCATCCTACAAGTGCATTACGTGCTTCTCCCTGAGTATGTGTAGTATTTTCACCTACGTGACCGGGGTACAGCGGCATCTCTCCCGTACCTAGCCTTTGCTGTCTAGCTTGGGTCGAATGGGTTTCGCTGATTCCACGTACTGCCAATTTATATCTCCTCATTTTCGTTTTCCTGGTCTCCGGACGTTCCATGTACTTTTAAAGTCTGTAGCTCTGGTAGTGAGAATGGGCATCAGCCTCGTGACTTCCGAAAAATCTCGGCTTTCATCATAAGGCGTCATAATTCTTACTTCAACTCTTAGGACAGATTTTAAATGGTTTGAATTATTTTTTGTGGTTAACGTTTTTAGCGAGTTAGTTTTTTCTACGGGATGGGGTCAGTAACATCTTGCCCAACCGTCGTCCTTTACCCGGGCTTGAGACCGACAGTATCTCTAAGAGAGCCGGAAAGGGAGTTTGTTTTGTTTCAAGACATAAGTGAAAAATTTCCACATCAACCAGTTTTGCTTTTTATCAATATAAACCTAGGGTTAACTACCAGTGACTAAGGTCAACTATAACTACAAAACAGTAAAGAATCAAATGTCTGGAAACCGGTTGTCTTATCATGTAATACAGTTCATTGAAGCTCAAGGTTTCGGTTGCTGTTGATTGCAGATTATTTTTGCAGTACATGTATGTGATAAGCTTTGTCATATTGATTTGAAAATCTTTCCTTTGAATTTAACTTTACAAGACGTACTGCAAATCATGAAATTAGAACTCTTTAGATGAATCTGCCACCATTAAAATCGAGCACAATGTGTTTCGTTAAATATTCGTACTCAGGTTTTTTTCAACATATGGATTAGCGTCTCTTGAAACAAAGTTTTAAAACTGAGTGATAACTTTGGCATGCAGTTGATATTGGTTGTACATAAACGAAAACGCTTCATAAGTCATTTATATTACGTATTTGTCAGCATAATTTCACTGTTGAGTGCCTAATAAAGATTTTTTAGTTGGCGTGGCAAGCTTTGTTTTTAACAACCATTTTTAATTTTATCCAGCTTCAGTGTCAATAGCGCGTTATATGACGTTTTTAAAATGCCTAGAAAATATTGTGCTCGACTCTGCACTCTTAAAAAATGGGAAAAGTATTCGGGCTACGGATTTAGCCTACAGGCAACAAAGGGCAAGGTCGGGCACTATATAAGCGAGGTCGATCCACAGTCTCCTGCATTTGCGGCTGGTCTTAGAGATGGTGATTACGTAGTAGAAGTAAATGGCGTTAATATTGGTGAGTTCAATCTCAACTTTCACATTTTCTGTCTAATGAGTTAAACTGACTGTTTGAAGCTTATTTTTACATTACAAAAACGTTATTACGCCAGGTGAATTTGTACACTAATTCAATTAGGATCTTTGGATTCAGAGCTTTCATGTGCTTCTGTAGTGTCACACTTATTTTCTTTTCGTCTGACAAAAAACCTGTAGTAAGACTGTTCTTTATCATACTGGACGTTTTTTGGCTCCTCATCTCTCGGCAGATTTTTTAACTATCATAGGATTACGTTAGAAACTCGAGCTTTGCGTACCTAATCAGTCTTCGGCAATATTAATTTTTTCTGAAACGCATACGGAATATCCACAGATGTTTTAGATTTTATAACCAAATCTTGTTCTGTCGTACATCTCCATCTACATAAGCGCTGAAATTTCCGGAAGAGTTCAAATACATTTTATGATGTTGCGTGTGAAGCCGAAAGGAGTTTAGTCATAGGTCTTGGACATAACACCAGTTAAATCTTAGGGGGTTACTTTATTTTCACCCATTCGCCTCGCCAGTGTGACGTGGTGCCCTTGTTTTCCTTACTAAGCAACTCAAACAAGCTATATGAAATTCAATAATTATCGCATGAGATCTTATCATGTCAAGCAGTAAGATAATATAGTAAAAATATCAGATTTTTAGACAAAGTCTCGTTGTATATTGTTTATGGCTGAAGATAGTATTTAATTTTCAACATCTCTAACGTTCCCACAGATTGAGTTAAAAACTCAAAAAGCATGTTCACGTTTGTCAACAGAAGGCTCAAATACTCCAACAGCTTTAAAACCTCCTTGTAAGTTTTGGTTGAGTTGAGGTCAGTGTGTAAGTAAAACAAAGAGTGTGTTTAAAAAAGTGGTGACCTGTCATGATCAAGGAGAATGAGATAGATACGTGCTCATGTCTATTAGTAGGATTTCATATTGAAAATTGTCGGAGAGCAAAACCGTAGTAGAGACAAGCAAACGATTAATCTAATCTTCAAAAAGCGATGTAATAAATCACTGAGTCATAACGACAAACACTTCAGTTTTCCCGCAGATATCTCTTTGTTTTCCTTTATTTAGGAACACAATTAGTGAAAAGTTTACATCCAATTTTTGATTTTCATGGAAGCTAGGCTAACAGGTAATCTGTGGCTAAAAAGCAGGGGGGAACGTTAATGAGTTGATTTAATCATATGTCAAGTCTTACAAGCTCAATAAGCAAGATAACAATAACAGTTGTGGATATGCATGTAATTTTTTCTGACTAGCTCCGACAGCTGACAAATAACCAACTCGGAAGAGTGACTTTAATTTGATAATTGATGAGTTTCTAATTTTGTAACGTCAATGAGACTTTTCTGTATATCACAGAGTGTAAGTACCTCAAAAAGCCTGTATTGAGTTATTTTCTACTGTAAAACGTGGTTTTGAGAGATAATGTGGATAAGTTACAGGTATAAGATTGAAGAGTTTCCTTTGCATAACCACCGATTTGAATTGGCATTTATTGTGTCTTTAAAAGTTGGGGCAATAGTTGATGAATTTGTTAATCTTAACTGATTAATTTGATTTAGATACTCACCAGCTGAGTTCATGAATCGATTTAAGCTAGACCACCATGGGAAATCAGGAAGCACTGGATGACCGTTTCGTCTTAGTATGTCACTCTCCGTCAGTGAGCACCCACGATCCTGTCCACGGG